AGAGGGAAGTAGGGAAGAAAGAGAAGGAAGGGAGAAAGAAGGTAGAGAAGAAGGAGTGGGGATGCAGTAAAAGGGGAAATGGGCGAGCAACACCAAAAGTCATGTGCATGTATTTATTTCATTAAAAGTATCTTATATATAAGAATGTAAAAAGAATGTATGTTAATATCTGATAAATATCACAGTATATGTATGGGGGGGAGTTTGGAAAAATAAAAAATAAATTAAAAAAAAAAAAGAAGGTAGGAGGGGCTCCCAGGCGAGGCAGAGGGTTCCCTCCCCCCCCCATTGTGTCTCATCCATCTAGGTAAGCAGAGGGAAGGAGCCTCGTGCCTTTTAGTAGAGGTCACAACAGGAGGAGGGAAAGCATTGTGCCACGTTTCCCGTCCCTTGAGCAGGGCGACCGTCCGTGGAACAGCCTTTGTGCCTCCTCTGAAAGATGGGATCATTAAAAGGGGACCCTGCCTTGTGGGAGGGAAAAGGGTTTCCAGGCCAGGTAAAGGTTCCCTGTCACTGTGGGTGCAAACTGGACAAGCCGCAGACCCTTAACTGGGACGGCCCTTGCCTTTTACGGTGAGGATTGAGCGTTGTCTCTGGGTGGGCTGCCCAGCCTCTGCCCATTGCCCCTCCACTTCTTGTCCTTTTGCTCCAGGTGTCGTTTTCCCCTACCAAACCAGCCGGGGGCGCTATCAGTTCAACTACTTTGAAGCCAAGAAGGCTTGCCAAGAACAAGATGCCAGGCTGGCCACCTACGAGCAGCTTTACCAAGGTAGCCAGTTTGGGCTGTGGGCAGGAAATGGTGGGAGACTCAGGGGGTTCTTCTTTCATTCTACTTTTATTCCCACTCATTAAAAACTCACAGCAAAAATCTATTTATGTGGGGGCTAAGAGTCGACAGCAACTTGATGGCACATAATCAGTCAATCAATTACCCTGCCCCCCCCAAAAGCCCTTCCAAGGCAAAGCTCAAAGGTGATGCTCAAAGGTGTCATCTGGAAGATGATAAAGCAGTAAAAAATAACTGATCAAGTTTCCGAACCAAACATAAGTGTGCTTGTAATCATTTACCTTCCCATCATAATTCATAGTTTCATACTTCAGTGAATTTTTACCATAGCAAATAAGTTTTCATTAATTGGAACCATGCTAATATAGGATATTATTGCTTTGACATAAGTATTGTAAGGATCCTTGGAGATCTATTTCAGCCTCCTGCCCAGTACAGAAAAGTACCACTACAGCATCCCCAGTGTTGACCCGGAATTAAGAGACAGCATAGGAAGTATCAATTGTGAATTTGTGCAGATGGGCCTGCTGACTTTGGGCCCTTGCAGAGTCATGGATGCAGGTCATGAAAGGACAGCAAGGAAAACACCCCATGTCCTAACCCACCCGGGAACGTACGACGTCTTTAGGGAAACACCCAAAAGGGAACATTTTTAGCTACTTCTGCTTTCTCCCTTCTTAGCTACAGTGTGCCAGACTTACTGGGTGAAATCTTGATCTTATGTGTGTCAGCTTTGCCGGGTGGATTGGTTATGTAATCAGAAGGAATAAATGCAAGGATTTCTTGTCATTCGGGGCTTCTCTCTTTTAGAGGAGCCCGTCTTTGTTCAGCTGAATAAAAACGTAACGCTTAAAGGCAACTTCTGGTTTCCTGTATTTTTTTTTTATCAAGCAAAACCTCAGAACCTGCACAGCGTTTTTGGTGGGCCAGGCTTCCAGGAGAGGTGCTTGGTTGGTCCTAGGGAGGCTCAGGAAAGGGGAAGGCACCAAGTGCGCTCCGGGATTTCCTGGAGGTGCCCCCCCCCGCTTCTTGACTTTTCACTGTGGTTTTTAACAGGAAACAGTTTTTTCTTCTTTTTGGTTGCCTTTTACTTGGTTCCTGCATACTCAGGAGGGCTGAAGATAAGATACAAAGATACACATTGCTTTGTTGCACAGGCTTGCCTAGGGGAGAGAGAGTGTGTGTGTGTGTGTGTAAAAGTGTGCTTGTTTCCTTGAATCATTTCCCACCATTGACCAGAGCTGGGCATCCAGCCTCTCAAACACCAAAGCAATGGAGAGTCCACCTTGGCCTGAGGCCCCGGTTGAGTAGGTCTTCCTATGAGGAAATGCCTCCTGATGTCCAGTCTCCTTCCATATAACTTCAACCCACGCAGTCTCAACCTGCCTTCGGATCGCCCCTCTTGCCCCGTGTTCTGCCCTTGAGCTGTTGGGGTCTCTGGGGGGGGGCTTCTCTTCTCCATACCAAACACCGCCCAACTGGAGCCGGAGCTCCGGTCATCAAGATCACTCATGCAATGAATCTCTCCCCAGGCATTTCTGTTATTTTTGTTCCCATCCTCCTTTCTGTGGTCTGCAATTCTCAGAAATGAAGGGAGGCTCCAGGGTGCTTTGCATGGGTGGACTTTTGAGGACTCAGTCCAGCCTCCCTTCGGCTCCCTTCTCTTCTCTTCGGTACATCAACCCTGTGGCCTCTTGGCTGACTGTGAGGCCAGCTACTCTCCTGGAAGGTGGGGTGGGGGGGGAGGAAGGGATGGACCAGGATGGAGAGGCTTGAGAAAAGGCCAAGTCAGCAGAACAGATAAAAAATGTTTATATGCTTCTTAACAAATTAACGTTGTGGGAGATCTTCTGACAAATTCCTTGTTTATTTCTCCAGAGAGCAGGGTGGGAGGTTGTGCTTATTTATCCCAGGACTGGCAGATAAAATTGGGAGAGATTATATAATCCCCCCACAGCCTTTCAATTTCTTGTTAAACTTCCTGTCTCTAATGGCAAATAACAGTAAATCCACTGTGGCCACCGCCACCACCCTACAAATGTCTGAAAGGTCCCAGGGCATAAGCCAAGGTCTCCCCCTCTCTCTGCTCCTCTCCTAGCCTGGACGGAAGGGCTGGACTGGTGCAATGCCGGCTGGGTCATGGAGGGGAGTGTGCACTACCCCATCCGCAACTCCCGCAAGCCCTGCGGGGGTCTTCTTCTTCGGCCCGGAGTCCGAACTTATGGCCCCAAGGACAAGCTGAAAGATCGCTTTGATGCCT